TCGAAAGATGAGGTGAGACCTGAAAATGCGAGTTGAACTGAGAAAGCGAGTTGCACAATACTGATCATGGCGTCCTACTGGACTAATTCACCAAAATTCGCAATAATCCACGAAGAGCCAATCACAAGCGAAGTTGTACTCTTTTAGAACTTCGCCAGCATAGACAACTACCAGTGCTCACTTGAGCTCATACCCAGGCATCAGAAGTTCTCAGGGGATCGATGAATACAGACTACGCGTTTCCAGCTGCTACACCGCAACGAGTCAGTGTAATCTATTCTTGATGACACACCGACTCTATCAATCAAGTAAGCGGAAAGAAGGAACAAATCCACGTTGCCCGGTGCGCCAAGAGAGTGTGCTGCTCGATCTCAGTGCCACTGCTTCAGGCGCAACCAGAGCTTGTTAATATCAAGACATATGCACCCGAACACACGTAGATGCATCGAGCATGCACGCCATCCCTGCCCGATCCAGCATCTACCTGTCTGACCCCACGCCTTAGGAGACTAACCGTATTTAGATCGGAGTACTGGATCTAGCAATTTCTCGGAAAATCTAGTAATCTAAGGTGGGCTCCTACCTTCGAGAATATTGGTCACGCCGGTACTTACTTCGTTAAGGCTAGACTGCATGTACTTTTCGCAACCACTCTTTCGTAGCCGATCCTGGCGCTCGTACCCCGTACAGACATGTTGTACATATTCGTTCGATCGCATGATACTTTTGCTGCCCAATCTGAAATGTGAAGGGCTAGAGCATTACTCCAGTATACGAGTTAATATTACAGCTTGTTATAGGCCCTCCGAGTCGCGGAGCCAAGGTCACCAAAGTGCGTTTCCATCGTCTAATGCGCGCACGAAGTTGTCGCCCATGAAGTAAACGGCGATGCGATAAACGGATACAATAAATGCGCCTCTGGCATTTGTTTTGCAGCGGATATTTCAGGAGTAAGGCAAAAGAGCCGAGACAAACTGGGGAAAGTGGCTTGACCTTACAGGGTCGTATATATAGATTACTGCATCTCGAACGAAACGCTCGTCAACGCCCAACTTCACACAGCTCACGTACAGTACACGCCGTACCATTATATCATGGCAAATAAGAACGAGATAACAGATAACGCGCACTCTCCCATTTCTCACTTCGTCTTTTATCCATATTAACCCCGGATTCTGGCTGCTGCATCTTGACGCAATGGCACGTGGAGCCATCGAACAACAGACTACAGAGGTCGGATGTCGGACCGGGGTGCGTTGCAGAGCCCCAATATCCCTGGATGAAAATCCATGATGTTTCGTGCCACATCCCACATCCCACCGACCGGGCTGGAGGCATGAATACCTAGGCAGCTCAGGCCTGGAGGGATCTAGTCTACTCTGCGAGAGAGCGGAGGGAGGGGTGTTAATGTGCAAACAAAGCCAAGTCTGCTTCTCTTGCTACCCCAACTCACCTCGAACCCGGGTTTCACACTCTTGGAACTTAATTTTTGGGTATCTTTCCAGCTTGGCTGTGCGTTTGCCTGCTTCCCATACGATGGTGGGGCCCTCCCTGGAGTAGATCGATCGAGCACCCGTCTTCTCAGCTCGAGAGAGAGGCAGTGCAATCCTGCGCACAACGGCTGGTACACTTGAAAGCTATGATATCACATCTGTTATATTGGTCGTACGGAGCAGATGGACTACTCCCCGTTTAAGTGTGCAGCACGGACGGCAATTAACCATCCGGCACTTTACCGCACACAGTTGCCTTGATGCGCGTAGAGGCACCACATACACGTCGGTCCGGCATATGTGGCTAACCATTCTATCTGGCGATGACACTTCATTCGTGTGCAGCCGGGCCTGTTGCTCGAGGCCGCCAGACAGAGTGGTGGGGCTTGGCCGGTGCTTCTGAAAGCTCGCGCCCTGTGCGTCTGTATGTTTGTAGACTAAAAGGACTGGAGGACATCATATACCTACCTAGTGAATTCAGCGTCACCCCTGCCAGAGTCTTTTCTTATTTCTCAGCATCCGTGTCTCGAACGAAGCCTCGGAGGGCACGCTCACTGGATTTCACACCCACACCGAACATGGTTCCTCCAACGCAAAGTCACTTAGCCGGCGGGCACAACAGCCACGACTCAGTCGACGATGCAGAGAAGGGCATGTACGACAAGACGCTCGAGCTGAGTGCGCCGCCACCCTTTGTCTTCCTCGCCAGAGAGAAACTGTCACATCTCGATACCAATCTCGCCGCCAACTTGTCGCCTGTATCGCCTGTACACGAGGGCATCACGCCCTTCTCCAGTGTCCCGGAGCTATCGCTATCATGGCCGGCGAATCGGAGACTATCTGTCGATGCGAGCAAGTTGGGAACGACGCCGAAGAAAGAGGAAAAGAAGAAGCCGAAGATTTCGAGATGGATCCTGTTTAAGCTCTGGTTCAACACGTACCGGAAGTTCTTCACATTCATCGTCTCACTCAACGTGACCGGTATTGTGCTTGCTGCGCTCGGCCGATTTGCGTATGCGGAGAATCATCTTGGTGCTTTGGTGCTGGGCAATCTTCTTATGGCGATCCTGATGAGGAACGAACTATTCGGGCGCTTCTTGTACATTGTAGCCATTTACGGGCTAAGATCTGTACGTTCATTGTCATTGTTTGTCGGTGCTGTACTAATGTGTTCCAACAGTGGGCTCCCAAATGCTTCAAGTACGCCGCAACTTCAATCCTCCAACATCTCGGGGGTATTCATTCTGGATGTGCTCTTTCTGGGGCTGCGTAAGTTCTCCACAAGCCGTATCGTATTTTCCTGCTAACAAGTTGGGGAAGGTGGCTTGTGTATAAGGTTGTAGATATCATCCGGTATCGCGCTATTCAGAGCAAGGCCGTCATTGCCAGTGGAATTGTCACCAATGTTTTCATCATCATTTCCGTTTTGAGCGCTTTTCCTTGGGTTCGCAAGTAAGTGGTTGATATAACACGTGCCATGAAGACGTGACTAACAATCTGCACAGCACATATCATAACGTTTTTGAAAAGCATCATCGATTCATCGGTTGGCTAGGTCTTGCAGTAAGATTCCCTTTACTTTCTTCAAAACTCCCACTGACCTTTCAAGTTCACATGGATCTTCGTCGTCATGGGTAACTCGTACGACCTCAAAAGGGGAGAGTGGCACGCCGACGCCAACACTTTGCTCAGTAATCAAGAGTTCTGGTTCGCAGTCTTCATGACAGTTTTGTAAGTCTCTACCATCATCCACCGAGACCAAACTAATTCCCACCACAGCATTCTTATTCCCTGGTTCACGCTCCGTGAGGTTCCCATCGAGGTTGAAATTCCCTCCGCCAAGGTTGCAGTCATCAAGTTCAAGCGTGGCATGCAGCAAGGCCTGCTGGGACGAATTAGCCGCACCTCGATCCTTGAGTACCATGCTTTTGGCATCATCAGTGAAGGCCGACATTCAGATTGCCACTACATGATCTGCGGCGTTCAGGGAGACTTTACGAAGGATCTTGTCAACAATCCCCCGAAAACCCTATGGACCAGAGAACTGAAGTTCGGTACGTCAATCATTGCCTTCACTCTCCTACACTTCACTAACAACTCCCAGCTGGTGTCGGCCACGCCTCCGCCATGTTCAAGCGCGGAATCCGCATCTGCACCGGAACCGGTATTGGCGCCGCACTCTCCACCTGCATCCAGAGCCCGGACTGGTTCCTGATCTGGATCGGATCAGACCAAGAGCGCACGTTCGGGCCCACGATATCGCGCCTGATACACGACAACATCGAGCCCGAGCGCATGATCCTGTGGGACTCGAAGAAGCGCGGCGGCCGCCCGGACACCATGGCGCTGCTCAAGGATACGTGGACGCGGTTCGGCGCAGAGGTCATCTTCATCACGTCGAATATGCAGGGCAACGATGAGATGATGCAGGGCTGTGCTGCGGCGGGCTTGCATGCTTTTGGCACGCTGTGGGACTTTTGATTTACTTCTTTCTACCTGTCGTAGGTTGCGGCTGGAGGTGTTGCTGCGAGCCGTCTTTCATGCATATCATATTCATGGAGTGTTTTTGGAATAGAAGACGAGGAGTGCAAACGTATTCACTGTCAAGATAAGAAAGAGAGGAGAGAGCAGGCAAGGCAGGCAAGCAAGCATTCATAGAAGCATTAGGGGGCGTATCAAGCACGTGTAGCCGTTGCATTTTGTAAGCTTTTTATTTAGAAGAAACCTGGAGCAGTCGAAAAAAGCACATACGTCAAAGGCGTACTTCAGAACGGTTTCTCTGGTTGTCGTTCCTGCACGTGTGTCGTAGATTTTCTGAGGCGTTGTTTTCTGGTACGTCTGCCGGTAGAGATGGATGCATACCCCACATTCTCTGGAGTTTGGTACTATACATTGACTTGGGGACTATCGCCATGGGTGATCATTTCGGTAAATAATAGTAGGTCTGATAATGCGCCAATGGTTGGTTGTGAGATGGATTACTCGTTCACTTGCTTTAATTAGTAATAATGAGTACCCTCTTACACCAAATTGCAGGACGCCATATACAAACTGTACTCTGCTGCAGACTTCGAAGGGAAAACAATGCCTACTCGGGCGAGCGATTCCTGTTTCCTCATGCCCAGAACACTCCTTGTGCTGTAAAAGCCATGATCGTACCGGAAGCAGCCCAAAAGCTGTCAAAAATAATCTTCTGCCAAATGATGTCGGAAAAATGTTCAAACCATTTTGGTTTGCTGACAACTTAGAACACCTTGCGTGCTGAGAGGACTTCTGAAGCTGTAAAACATGATCTTCATTTGAAAACGAGACAGGGCAATCCAAGGGGCAGCAATCCGAAAGCAAACGGTGAAGCCATCTTTGGTATGATCGTAGAATTGGTTAAGCAGAGGAAGAGAAAGAAAATTGGAGTCACGAATGTGAAAAGTGCAAAAAAGGAGCAAAAAAGGATCAAGAAAGAATAAAAAAAGACAAAATATGATGAAAAAGATGCAAAAAAAGGAGAGATGCCCTCTGCCAGAATCGAACTAGCGATCTCATCATGTTCTTTCTTTAGTTGAATTACTAGTGATGCGCTTTACCACTAAGCCAAGAGGGCGGATCCAGTCGTAGACCGGTTGGCTTCATTCATTGAACGATGGAAAATGCCAGAATTTTATGAGATATATACTGCAATAAACAGCAAGGTAAGGCAAGAGCGTATTGCTAAGCGGTGTGCCGGCGGGAAAGAGCTTTTTGGATCTGTGGGTCTGTGGGCCGGTGTGTGGGGCGGAAATTTTCGAACCAGGCAGCACTGGTCGGTGGGTCCGGCCAATAGGAGAGCTCGTCGTACGCGGACACTACTACGCACAGCTTGGATCGCGATGTATATACGCACAGCTTTGAGGAACAGTGAACGATGTATACTTCAATAATTACATGATCGGAATCGCTTCTTGAATGACGTAAGCTCTAGGACCTTACAATGGCAAACTGGTTTTTCGAAGTGCCGGCATCACGTTCCGCTCATCGTCACTTCATCTACAACCACGGCGCCCAGCAACAACTTGGGTCTTTCTTCTACAGTGAGAGGCTTGATATCTATGGTACTCGAATTACATTACCCGTACTTTTCAAGCGGTCATGTCGAGATCTATTCAACCTTTTGCATTATTTTCTAAATCTATGTTCTGTGCTAAGACCTTCGTGAATTACGAACGAACTTAGTCTTAGTTTTTTTGTCAATCTTCTTCTACACCTACTGAATCCTCGGAAGATTGTTTAAAACAAAAGCAAATTTTTGAAGGCACACTATCCCCAGCCATTTCAACTCTGCCTCTTGTACAAGGTTTCACTAACTCAAGATATTCAGACACGTGGAGCTGTTCACATAGCAGACTGTGTTTTACAAGCCTCGGGGTCTCCACGCATCTATTTCTATCCGAGGCCTCCTTCAACTTCTGCCTACTCTCTGGTACAAGTCCCGCTTTCGCTGGAGTTTCACACGTCCAAGCGGTCTCGCGCCTCATCCTCAGTCTCGTCGGCGTCCAGCGGAGCGATTTCGTTCATGCGCGCTTTCAGTTCCATCGTTGTTGTCATTGTCTAGATATCGCCACTGAAGGCGATTCCTCGAACCATTTTCTGGAACTTTGGACCCCAGAGCTTGAAACGACAGAGGGATAGGCATGACAGCCTCCACATGCGCTCGAGTATTGAAAGGGTCCTGGTATTCATCCTGCCCCGGGATGTCGCTCAGCACGCTCTGGCACATGTCCAGCTTTCGCTGGAGTTACACCTGTCGCTGACTAGAGGCAGAACCTATCTTCTGGTCTGTCTTATGACGCTTGTCCTCGTACATCTTACGGTATTTTCAAAATATTAGTTGCTGTTACTCACAGGTGACAATGAACCCCCGAAATCATGCTCTCCCTTGACCGCGACAACAAGATCGTCAACTTCTTCGGCGAAAGACTCGAGGCACATCCGGCCGTCTATCTATACCTAACATATGCCTGGAGACTGTCCATAGCTTTTGAACTTACGGAGTTTAGAGTTTACTTGGTTTGAAGCATAACGGATCTGCCAGTTGGGTTATAACACCTACGAAACGTACAAAGGCTAGCCAGTTCTTGGGCCACACAAAGGGTACTTTTCGCGACCTAGCGTGATCTGTTTGCTCTCACCTCTACAGTTTTTCCTCGTTTCCAAATGTTTGCCTAGTATGTTGAATCCCGACTTGCCTTCACAGCACCCTTTTCTCGCATTATCACTGTTACAACCACGGCTGCTACAATCCCTGGGACTGTCTCCTCCACCCAGAGACTCGATACGTATACCCCTTGAAAGGACATCCCGTGCTTCTTCTGCTATCGTAGTGGAATGAATCTTGCATCGTATGTTTTTTCCTCCAAGTGTTTTCTGGCCTGCGATTGTGATGAGAAACTCGCAGTACGACTTCTATCAGGACATTAATGCACAGCCACTTCCATAGATGAGCGAAGCGGCTCGTTGGAAATGGGGAGATTTTAAGTGGAACCATCACGAGTTGGGCTTGACGGTAAGCGACGGGATCGGGCGGATCGCTGCGTCAGTGATGCAATGAAGGAACTGGCTACGGAGACTTTTCTCTTCTCACGAGCGGACTATTCTTGGGCAAAAGACTTGGCTACGACAACAATGGAAATTGCAACGGTGTTGCAGTCAAGGAATTCATTGGTAGGAGGCGATGTCAGACTGTGTTTCGAAACAAGTTCGCAGCGGTTTTGTGGTACGTTGTACAGGATTGTTTGGAGCTGCACGATCAGGAGAGTTTTCTCAGCCCGGCAAGCCACGCTCGTTTCCCTGCAGCACAGAGTTGCAGCTATCGTACCACTAAGAAAAGGAGTTTATTGTGAGCACAATTGGTGAAAATGTCTACAACTTCAAACGCCCCAGGCATTGTATGAGAAAGCGAGGAGTAAAAGTGACACTCATCTCCAAGTGCTGGCGGCCTTGTAAGGTGTGACGCACGTGTCCAAGGCCCTGGTCGTATCCTTTATTAACGCTGATGATGGCCGAAATTACGAGTCGACGTTTCTTGTGCGCGGCAGCGGCTCAGAAAAGCAGCACGGGCAAGGCTCACACGGCAAAGGAGGAAATGGCTGTTTTGTCTTGACATCTGCATGCAATTACCGGGTTGCAGCAGCGTTGTACAGTGGGATGGGTGCAAGGCCGTTGTTATTTACGTGCAGGTGTCAGTCTTTTGCCTGTGGTGCTTGTGAGACTTGAGCGTGTCATGGGTGCGGGTGGTCAAGCACGATCGACAGCTGGAGAGTGAGAGACGGGGAGCTGGAATGCGGCGGGCAGGCAACGTCGCAGCGCCCCATGCCAGACCGCCACAAGTCAAGCCATTCCTGAGGTCGAAACGCGGCGTGCTCTGGCCACAGGCGCGGTCCTCTGGTGATGCGAGTGTGCCGATAACCCTCGATAAGGGGCGTGGCAGACGGGCGGCGAGGCTGAGGAGAGAAAATAGCGGAGGGACAAAATAGCTGCAGGGTCGTGATGAGCGGGCCCCAGGGAAATTAGATGAACCGGCCAATCAGCGCGCGACTGTGCCTGGGCCTGAGCGGCGGCTAGGGCTAAAAGCGGAATTGATGCTCGGGAGCACGGCCACCTCTGGCGGTTCGGCCTGGTCAGGCACGCGAATGTTTCGACCGCTCACTGGCCCCGTTGGCAAACCAGAGACGGCCCTGGTGAGCTGTGCCGTCTTTCCCTGTTGGCTCTACGCTCTACCGTACCCTCGCCTGGCGTCTCGTCGCTGTGGTGTAGTCGCAGCGCTGGGTAGCCAAGGGTCCCTCAGGCTCCTGCCTACTCAGCCGGCCGCTCCTTCCACCGCCGTCCCTCGCACCTTCACCACCCCGACCTCACCCTCACCACCTCACCTCCACCCCGCCGCGCTGCTACTCTCTTCTGCGACCAGGCTGTCGTTCGCCCTTCGTTCATCGAACGCGCCCTGCCGCAATTCACTCATTAACACAACTGCTAGCCATAATACCTTCCTTTCTTCTGTCGAGTGCCTGGCCCACCTCCAAATATACACCGGCCACATTCCAGCGTCGTCGACACTCACATTCCTTGCAGCCTCTGTAAATACTCGGCAATTCCTTCTTGCGCGGGCCACGTAATAATTGCGCAACTATCTTGACCAGCTCCGTGCGCCGCCATTGAAGAGCAGGTGAAGGTGAATCCGGCCAGTTTCACGCCGCTACTATAATCATCGCCCGCCTGCAAACGCCCACCACAGAGTGCGACACCTTAATCCAGCACCTCCGACATCCCCGACAACCACCTGCACGCCACAGAACACGACATGGCGCACAAGCAACACGCAAAAGCGCATCTCGTGCGACGACAGCGCGACGACCGCGACGAGGACGACGATGACAACAGGCGTCGCCCGACTCGCCCGACGGACGAAGAGACCGTGGAGACGGTCGTCGTGACCGAGAGACCCCAATCCACCGAGGATTCTACCAAGACGCTCGTCGCACCAGCCATCAGGTCGCGCACAAGCACTGCTGAAGAGGAGGAAGAGCCCGAGACTACGCAAACCAGGGCTCCTGCTACCAGGAAGCCTTCTCCCACCCAGCAAACCGAGGTCACTGAGACGCCATCTATCAAGGAAGCCTCTACGCTCATGGTCGCAACGAAGCCACCAACCCCAAGCGCCGGTACAGCCTTTGCTGGCCTTGCATCGGCCACCGCATCCGTCTCGGCAGCTGCATCAACTGGTGCTGCTACAGAGGGCGGCATGTCTGGAGGCGCAAAGGCTGGTATGGCTCTCGGAATCTTGGTTGCTATTGGTGCGATCCTCGTTGGTATCTTGCTTCTCTACCGCCGCAAGAAGCAGGCTACGACCGCAAAGGAGAACGAGAAGACCGAACTCTACAACGCCCCTCCTCCACCTCCTCCCCAGGTTCAAGCTGCCGCTCCTCCTGCCCCGAGCATTCGCACCCAACGCACCATGTCGACCGCTCCTCGTCTCAGCTTGCGTCCAGTCACTCAATTCGACCCAACCTTCAGCGAGCAGCGCAAGAGCGGCGGAAACTTGCTCACCGTTGCTGCAGCCGGAGGTCACCATAGTCGTGGTGAATCGGCTGAGCGCCCTTCAAGTGCTTGGGAGCGCCCTGGAGCATCCAATGCTCCTGCTGCAAATCCTTTCAACGACCCCGAGAACCGCTCTGGAAGTCCATCTGCTAATCCCTTCGGCAACAAGGCTGCGCTCGACGCCCATCAAGCTGTTATCCCAGATTCACCTCCCAATGCGTCACCTCTGCACTCCACGCAGCCTAGCACCGACTTTGCCAACCCCGCTGCGGCAATCGCTGCTGCTGAGATCGATCCTGTAGCCATGGCTGGTGCGATGAACTCTATTCCACCTCCAATGAACGACCTTCCTCCGCCACCCATGATGAACACCAACGAAGTTCCTCCCAGCCCAGCCTGGACTGAGGACCTCCCTGCTTCTCCTGGTCCAGCTCCTACCGGTGCTCTTCCAGTTGCTGGTGCCATGGCTGGCAGCCGTTCCAACAGCCCGTCTCCCGGTCCCAATAACGTTCACCGTGTCCAACTCGACTTCAA